TGGAAGACAGGAGTAGATCACTCCATAATTACCCTGTTCTGTACATTGCCCTTGAAACTCTGGTATGGGCCAATGTCGAAGACAGGATACTGGGCACGATGGACCATGGTCTGACCCAGTATGGCAGTTCTTAAGTTAGAAGCTGAAGGGGTTGGTTGACTTTTCACAATTGCATACCATACCAAACACTCCACTATATATGGCAACTTGATGCTGAATTAGCATGTTATTTTCTATGTACGGTTTGCAGTCCAGGAGGCAATAGATAATTTCTGTTCTTAATAACAAACTTTGGCAACATCTACACTAACAAGTGTGATGCCATTTTTCAGCAATAGTGCATCTGGACCAATATAAACACTAGTGTAGATCACACTTGAGTGTTTCCAGCTTTGTGACCAAGACCAAGAATTCATAGATTGTCAGGCCAAAAAGAACCATTGTGATTACTAGTCTTACCGCCTGTATAATACAGGCCTTATGACTTCCCTGAATTAATTGCTGTTTGAACTAGAGCTTACATTTTAGGAAAAAAACATCCAATTGTGATTTAAATATTGCTACTGATGGAGAATCCACCACAGCCCTTGGTAAGTTGTTCCAGTGGCTTATTAGCCTTACTATGAAAAAAACTGCACCTTATTCATTATTTACTGTGTATTACTGTAGCTCTTAGGAGCCCTAATTCCAGTCTAAATTTGTCCAGGTTCAACTTCCAGCCTTTGTTATACTTTTGTCTACTAGATTGTCCATGATCAAATTTCTGTTCCCCATGTAGGCACTTATAGACTGTGATTTAAGTCACTCCTTAATCTTCTCTTTGCTCAACTAAACAGACTGAGTTCCTGGAGTCTATCATTATACAGCATTTTTTCCAATCTTTTAATTATTTTGGTGGCTCTTCTCTGAACCCTCTCCAATTTATCAACATCTTTTTTGAGTTGACACCTGCACGTGGCAGGCAGACAAGCGCCAAATATTGAGGTAATATAACCTCACTACTCCTTGTCATGATTCCCATTTACACATCCAAGGATCACATTAGCCCTTTTGACCATGGTATTACAGTAGGCACTCACATTCCTCTCAGTGGTTTGAGCATTGGCCTGCTAAACCCAGAGTTGTGAGTTCAATCCTTGAGGGGGCCATTTAGGGATCTGGGGCCAAAATCTGTCTGGGGGTTGGACTAATGACCTCCTGAGGTCCCTTCCAACCCTGATATTCTATGATTATCCATCATGACCCCAAACTCTTTTTCAGAGTCTCCGTCCCTCGTTCTCTAATTAGGGCCTACATTTTTTATTCCCAGATGTATACATTTACATTTGGATGTATTAAAACACATTTTATTAATTCAAGGCACAGTTCTGCAAATGCTTGAAGCCAGTCTATATAGCACTTATATAGATACTAAAAAAACAAGCATTAACATAACTGACGCAAACATGACTGCTGATGACTACAAATAAAGTTTGACAGCGGAATTTCATACCTGTTTGACCCCTGGCAGGGAAGGGGGTGACAAAAGAACAAAACATTAATCTACTAAAAAATCTATTCATTCAAATGTCATAATTTCCACTGCATCATAGGTTTGAGAATAGCACTTCACAGAAATATAAGAAAATACACAGTCCCTGTTCTGAAGGCTTACAACTTATGTAAAAACAAAATCAAAACTTGAAGCTGACAGAGCCATCAAAATGAAGTTTGAGACACTGTAGTTGACACTAAAAATGTGATAAACTTTAAATTATTATGAACAGGTGGGGAGTGTATTCCAGAGTCTGTTTTTTTAAGAGTGGATACTAGATTTATTAATAACACACAGACACTCCCCATCCCAAAACAGTATGCAAAGTCCCCTGTGGCTCTGCACAAGTAAGTAAACATAGCTGTGAAAAAATCAGTCAAGATATGCCAGCTAGTTCTACTCCACTAAGACCATAGGGAAGAAAAAAAAATGCATGCCTGATGCAAAAGATATCTTGAACAGCAGAGAACAAACCACACTCCCACATTCTATATATAGTAGGTTTTATAGAATGCAAGCCTCCACTCATAATCCTTTCTAGCAAGTTAGTTGGCTCAAGACTTACAAATGCTTTAGCTGAACAGTAACGGTTGACCGAAATATTGAAATATCTACAAATATCTGAAAATGCTTGTCTAGCAGCTTTTGTACCAATTTAAATCAGGGGAAAAAAACATATTCAGTTAAATCGATTAAACCACCTAAATAATGAGGAGTCTGGTGGCACCTTAAAGACAGATTTATTTGGGCATAAGCTTTCGTGGGTAAAAACCCACTTCTTCAGATGCATTTCTTCTCCATGCATCTGAAATGGGTTTTTACCCATGAAAGCTTATGCCCAAATAAATCTGTCTTTAAGGTGCCACCGGACTCCTCGTTGTTTTTGTGGATACAGACTAACACGGCTACCCCTCTGATACTCAACCACCTACTATACATGCAGTTATACCAGTAGAAGAGTGATCATATTGTACTCAATCAGTACAGCTCCCTATTGTGGATTCAACTGAATCGGTACAAAAGCTATGTGTAGACAGGCTTTAAGTATTACCAGCGATCCTTAGATTTTCCTTGCTTTTTTCATCATTAGAGATAACAGAATGAGAACAGCCTTCCTTTTTCTATTGCAATATTTCAAAACTGAATGTGAAGGATAAAATGCATTTAATTTTTATTTCAGGTTCAGTAAAAGCTATTTTATTCCCCTCCGCATTCTCTTAACATCTGAAATTTCAGCACAAATGACTCCTGCCTCCTTATACTGTAGTTCAAGCTTTTGTACTTGTTTACTTCACAACTCTCCTCTGACATCCCTCTGTTCAGAAATGTCACTATTTTCTGTAGCCCACCACCTCTCACATTCTTTCACTTCTCCCTATAATCTCTTAACAAATTTCTGGCAGGAATATGTATTATAGAGATGGGGAAAGGAAGATGCTTCTTCATTTTCACATATAAATATATATAATTTACCATATAAGAACAAGTCACAACTGTCATTTATACTGTTTTGCAATATCAATAAAAAGCACTAAGGTATCCTCTTGTCCTCAAAACTGCATAACATCCTTGAATTGTTAACATCAGTTCTTCATGAAATAGATTTTAATATTTATCCACACCCTAGTGATTTTAGAAATAATTCAGAGTCTAGGCTGTCCAACCACCACTAAGTCAATTTCTACAGTAGGAGCACTTCACCTGTATAGAAATAGTGATATACTATACCAGCAAAGTGCTCTTAACTTATACAGGCAACACTTCACTTTTACAGCTTATTCCACCCTTTGCTTCCCTGAGCAAAACAAGCTATAGCAATAAAACTGCACTTTTGGGCCAGTATAATTGCATCTGCCAGCACAGCTATGTTAGGGCTTGGCTACACTTGCAAGTTAGAGCACATTAAAGCAGCCCCGGCCCCCTAGCTCACTACCCGTCCACACTGGCAAGGAACGTAGAGCACTCCGACTCCAGGGCTAGAGCGCTCCTAGTATTCCACCTCGGCGAGAAGATTAACACTTGGTGCGCATTGGCTGAAACGCCGGGGCATCAGTGTGAACGAGGTGTTGCATTACTGCGCTCTGATCAGCCTCCAGAAACATCCCATAATCCCCTTAAGTCAAGTGGCCACTCTTGTCATTGTTTTGGAATCACTGCAGGAAGGCACATATCTGTGTGTGAGAGAGAGAGAGGCGGGTGTATGTCTGTTGCTGTCTGAACTTACAAGACGGCATGCTGATATGCTCTCAGCCCCCAAAACACACTCTCTCTTCCCCCATATACACACAACACACTCCCTGTCACACTCCACCTCACGCCCCTCATTTGAAAAGCATGTTGCAGCCACTTGCATGCTGGGATAGCTACCACAATGCACTGCTCTCTGTGGCCGTTGCAAGAGCTGCCAATGTGGCCACGCCAGTGCGCTTGCAGCTGTCAGTGTGGACAGATTGCAGCGCTTTCCCTACTGCGCTCTACGAAGGCTGGTTTAACTCAAAGCGCTCTGCATCTGCAAGTGTAGCCATGCCCTTAGTCAGGGACCATACCCTATCCCAGATGAACGGAGCTAGGCCAGCAGAAGTCTATAAGATAAACATGATCTGAAGGACACTTTAAAACTTGTGGCAATAGATAACTTCCCCCAATTACACTTTCAATAAGAAGGGAAGATACATCAACAGTCACCCTTGTACAGTGCTTAAAGTGGTCTGAAAAAAGCCTGGGAGGGGAGAGTGTCATACTCTGGGAGCAACAGCTTCGGGAAGTGATTAAAGTGACCCGGCTTGATTTTTAATTGCTTTCCAGGTCTGCAAACACCACTCCCAAGAAACCCTTTAAGCACTGTGGCGGGAAGGTTTGAACACGATCTAGGGGGCACGAGGGCAGCGGTAGCAGGGAGGGTGGATGACTGGCAAGACCCCAAGCAGCAGGCAGAAAAGTGGGTTACCCGTTGCCGCCGCCAGTGCTGTTGGAGGGGTCAGGCCCGTGCGGCTGCAGCCTGCCCCATCAGCAGGTAGGTACCAGAGTGGGGGGCACTTAGAGAGCCCTGAGAGGACCCCCTAGGAGCAGGGCAGGGAGTGTGTGTGTGTGGGTGGGGGGGGTCACTGCCCAACAGGCACAGGGAAGGGAGCAGCCCAGCCCCCCACTGCCAGAGATGGTGGGGGGCCTGTCACACCTGCCCCAATATTTGAGGCGAGGGGGCACCCCCAACAGAGCAGCAAGGCGCATCCGCCCCCCTGCCCTCGAGGGGGAAGGAGGACTAGTACGGAGGGGGAGGGGAGCACCCCCCCAGGCAGAATTGCCCCCCTAGACAAGCAGGGCACACTCCCCCCGCCCCCAACCAAATGGGGGGACGGACGAAGCGACCTCCTAGCTCCGCCCACCGGGCACAGCCTCGGCGAGAGGCTCCGGTCCGATCCCTACCCGGGGGAGGGGGCGAGTGGGGCTTGGCCTCACCTCCGGCCACGAGGCCCTTGCGCAGGGGGGAGCCAGCGGCTCGGCGCTAGTAGCCACCATCTTACACCACCACCACCACCCCAGTCTCCACCCCTTCGCCCGGGCGCGAGGTGGTGGCGCCCGCCGAGCCCACTTCCCCCACTGACAGGTGAGCGGCTGCCCCCCGCCCCGGGCGCGAGGCGAGGCGGGAGCCAGGCGCGTGGGCGGAGCAGCCAACGGTCCCCCTCCTCCCGTCCGCGCGCGCGCGCTTTCTCTCCCCTCTCTCAGCGCGCGCGCTTTCCCACCCTCCGGTCGCCCAATCTGCGAGCAGAGCGGGATGAAGGGCGCGCGGGAGGGGAAGGGAAACCGCCTTGACAACCAATGGGGAGGGGGGGCGTGAGAGTGGGATAGGTCGCTGGGAGAAATTATTGTAGGGGGCGGGGCCTGAGACAAACAGGGTTAGAAGGCCGTGTGAGGGACCATCGACGAACCATTTCACGCTTAGAAAACAGGGGAGCCACATTAGAAGAGAGCGTGTGGGCACTGGGGGGAGGGGGGGGTTACGTGCAAATCACGTCAGGGGTGGGAAGGAAGAACGTTAGGGCAAACCATTTCAGGGTTAGACGGGAGAGTGGGCAAACGATTCCAGGGTTAAACGGGTAACTTGGGGCAAGCCATTTCAGGGTTAAAAGGGGCGCAGTGTGAGGGGCCTGGGACGAACCATTTCAGAGTTAGAAAGGAGAACGGGAAGGGGGAGAGTTGGGAGCGAAACCATTTCAGGGTTAG